TTCTTCATTGTCTTCATGCTAGATACAACTCTGGGTACAGTCCTAGTCTGGGCTCCGAAAAACACGATCTGATCACCTCTTGGCAATTGCAATGTCACCTCTCGCTGGTGGTAGCTGATGTCGGCGCGGTACTTTGTCAACCAGTCCATCCCCAGAATAATGTCAAAGTCCTTCATGTTGATGACGTAGGTGTCGGCCTCCAGATCTCGTCCACCGATGTTGATCTTCAATCCCTGCACTATAGAATTCGTAACAATCGTCTTCCCCGAGGCTAGGCTAACCTCTAGGGCATCGACTGCACTCACACCTTGGACTTCGATGGCCTCCAGACAGCTCGATGAAATAAAGAAATGTGTTGCTCCGGTATCAAACAATGCGAATACAGGTATACCATGCACAGAAAGCATTCCAGACATAGTACCTTGATTATTTGCGGCCTCATTTTGGGTCAATGCGAACACCCTGGCTCTCCCTCCTGGTCCTGGCTGCTGCTGCTGATCTCAACCGTGCTCGAGGCAATTTTGAGCCATGTGCCCCGGCCTCTTGCACCTGAAGCAGATGTTCTTGCCAGCTAAGCACTCTCCCCTGTGTCCTTTGCCGCAGGTAGCACACGGTGGACGGTCGACTTGTACCTGCTGGATTGGTTGGGCTGCCTGGGGTGGTCTATTGTCTTGCCTATTTTTCTTGCCCTTCCCTTTGCGATCATCATTCCACTTTCTCTTCCCGGCATTGTTTGATGGCTGGGCTATGTCAGCGGGCCGAACGGGGAGTGACTGCGACCCCATCTGCTGGCACACCTCGAGTCGCTGGGCCCTCTCAATCGTCTCGGCATAGGTCAGATATCCGTGGCCGACTATTAGCATGAGGAGGTCTCGTTTAAGGCCATACAGGAAACGAGTGGCCTTTTTCTCTTCTGTATCCACTAGATGTCGGGCAAATGCGCTCAAACGGGAGAACTCCCGCTCGTATTCTGCCACAATGCGGTTCCCCTGACTAAGGCTCATAAACTCTCTCTCCATCTGGTCACGAAAATGACGAGGATAGTACTTCTCCGTGATGATCACCTTGAGCTGCGCCCAAGTCAAAGCGTCTCGCTTGTCTACTGGCTTCAGGCGCCAATAGTCTTCCCACCACTGTCCAGCTTCTCCCTCTAGCATGTATTCCCCACAGACCACCTTCTGGGCCTCGGTACACGCCATCAAGCGAAAGATGCGCTCCAGCCTAAGGAACCAGTCGCCTACTGAGAGTGGCCCCCCTTCTCCGGTGAAAGCCGGTGGTGACATCTTCCTGAACTGAGCAACAACCCGGACATGATTCTGCTCCTGGGGCTGCTGCTGCTGAGGGTCACGTCTTGGAGGCATTTTCTGAACATAATGCGCGAGAAGAATTTAGAATAACTGATTAAAGCTCAAATCATAAATTTGAACTTAACTATAGTTCTCAAGAATTAAAGGAGGATAAGTTCTAAGCCCCAAATAAACATGCATGCGCTATGACTGACTTACTAACTCATACCTGGGTTCTGGAGCGGCTCAAGGTGGCGAGTGGTCATATTTTTCAAAAGTATTCAGAAACGCTAACTGCGCTCTGATACCAAACTGTAAGCACCCTCTACTTGTACATTGAAAATATCACAGTTTTGCAAAATGAAGCGAACTTTTTTGTAAATCATATACCTTTTTAAAACATGCTTTGAGGGTACTTACTAAACATGTATTTGGCTTTACTATCATGTCTGCTTATAATCATTTCAGGATATCTGATCCCGACATAGAACATGTTGTTCAATTCATTAAGGCCTAGCAGAGCGATCGATATTAGTCCGATAAATGAATTGAAAAACTGAAACTGGAATCCAACAATGTTCAACATAACTGATAATGTCATGTTCGGAAAATAAGATGTTCAATAGCGGAAGCAATAAGTAAACTGCATATGACCACCACTAGCCCCTCTTGAGTCCCGCCCGGCAAGCTAACCTGAAAATGATAATTGTGGGGGCTGAGCAATAATCAACGTGCTCATCATTATTCCATACTACGCAATTATTCATGATAAAAACAGGTACCGATAACATTGGTATA